TTATGTATGCCGTTATTAGTGATGCATTATTGAGTTTGTATTATGTATGCCGTTATTAGGACCATTGGATTTGGGATTTAGAAGTATGTACCTTCTGACCATGAACCTTCTCTCTTTTCTCAAAATCACTCTTCTGAAGATTTCCGTTTTAAGATGGCCATTTGAAGTTATGAATCAATCTCATTGCTGATTCGCTCAAAAATGTCTGATTGGTGATTACGAAACTCTTAATCCCATACGAGTGAGAGAAGAATTAGGTTTAAGAATGGAAGAACGACGTTCCGTGAACAGCCCTCGAAGAATACTGAGCTTCTCCAAGAATCGGAGGGGCCGCCCGGGATAGGTCTATGGCTTTGTGGGCTCCATCACAACCGTTGTCTCCACAGGTTAGTTTTCTTTTTTCGTTGTTTCTTTATATACCTCGATCAGATGCTACTAACCCGTGCAGTTACATTTATGTGATCTTCTTGCATAATTTTGACCTATGTTACCGGACTCTTCTATTTAGGAAGAATACTCGTGTCATGTTGTGTCGACACTGGTGTGGGTATGAGTGTCGGGTGTGGCATTTTAGCCTAAAATGTTCAAGATTTCTAAACTATTGACTAGTTGGACGCTCATATCTCCACACCCGATATACCACCCATATCCGAGTCCAGGTAGCATAGATTTTGACCACTGTTCTCCCAATTTCCGTCTTGGATGCGTTCTCCTCTGAAATTTAGGAAATGACAAAAGTTTAACTAATGCACAATTTATCATTTTTTATTATTAATATTTACGTTTAATTTTTCGGTCAACTGAAATAACCAAAATAATTGAAATAAATTTTATTAATTAATATAAATTATTGTTTACTATTTATTATTCTATACTATGTTTGATTAAAAAAAAAATATATTATGGAAACGAAATATGTTGTGCAATCTAACAGTTATTAATGTGCAATCTGTCCAACAATATGGTGCACGATGACGGTCTGCAGATTGAACCAACCGAACCTTTTCTCACATATCGAGGGTAAACTAAATATAATCAGCCGATTTATTCGGTTCGGCTAACCGAAATATCATTAAACAACCGAAATAATTTGTTATTTATACTAAATTTATATTTAATATGTTAATAATTTATTTATTATTTTTTATATTAATTGTGGTTGAAAAAATCTCGAGTTTGGCCGATTTCGGTAACATGCTTGCATTTTTTGTCTACGGATGATATGATGGATGATAAATTATTATGAATATGATGGATGTTAAATTATTATGTAGATATAATTTTTAGATTTATGACGTGTGGTATTTTGGCGAACGCTATCGACATTAATTGTGGATTGTATAGAGTGCAATATGTTGTTTTATAATGTGCAATGTGTATTTCTATAAAGTACATCGTGATTATATATAAAGTGTCTTATATGATCCGAGATAAATTGCTTGTTGTTACGCCCCGTTTTATTTTAAAGAATTTACCAAATTTATTTATGAAAATCAGAGTAAAATCTTCGCAAAATCTCAAATTAAAACTTATTTCTCAACGGGCGCTACTTTTCTACTAAAGACAATCAAACAAATACGAACAAAAGATTTAACCTATACATGCATAAACTAACAGTCATAAAAGTTAAACCAATTTATTCATTAGGTTTCAAATCGAACCAGAAAGTTAAACATTATTCCAAAGGTTCAACCAAACTTCATCAATATACCCAAACCGAGGCAGGAAAAATCAAAGACAAGAGCAACAGTTTAACATAATCATAAATTAGGCGGAAGCATAAGACAACGAGAATACAACGACAAATGACCACCACCCGATCGTCTTCTCGCCGCTGCCGCCAGCCATGCTCAACCTAAAGAAAAGAAGAGAAAATAAGGAGAAAAAGAATGGGGGTGAGCAAAACCATTATGCTCACCATTACCGCACAATATATCCAACATAAAGATTCAAAACCATAAATAATGTATGCATAGAATCCAAGTCTAACTCCCTACACGGTCCTATCGCAAACCCCCTATGTACATACAACAACCTTCCGATCAATCATCGGCAAGGAAGTAACCGGAAAACTTCCCACCCCGGCTCGACACGGGCTAAGAGATCCTTTCTAGGAGACAGTGGAGCTGTTTTTCCCCCCGAATAACACACGAATCAGGGCGTCCACCTCCCGACTAGCAACGGGTAAGCAACCTTTCACTGCCTATGCATTCATCAAAGGCACTATCAATGGGACACCTAGACTAGGGTTCTCATGCATACAACAACTATCGAGACGAACATTTATACAATATAACGAGTGCGATAATTATAGATACAACGTAATGTACCCACCTGAAAGCAGCAATATATCACAAGAACAAGGCTCGAAAAGATAGGATTTGAGGTCACCTACCCGAAATCAGGATAACCTCTCGATTACAACCAATCCAAAAGAAAGAGGAAGAAAAAGAAAGAAAGGAAGAAGGGGGAGGAGAAAAAGGAAGTCTAAAAAGTTTCGGCGTCCAAGACGGATAGTGCTGTTGTATGTAAAACGAGTTGTGTTGCTTTGGCGCGAATCATTTGCTAGTATTTGTAGGTTAACTAGGGGTTGCATTGAATTATATGTTTTTAAATAAACACAATTTAAAACTTTTAAAATTTTATGGTATTTAATATTTTTAAAATTTCGAAAGTCAATTTTATTTAATTAAAGTTCTTATAAACTAGTACAACGCCCGTGTATTACACGGGTGCTTTCAAAAAAATTATTCTTAAATTTTAAAATTAATGAAAAAATTATTTTAAATTTTATTTACTTTTTTTTTAACAAAAAATATATATTATTATATATTTGGTCACTTAAGGAGAGTCGAGCATCCAACAACTACGTCAGTCAGTTTTAGCACTTGCACTGTATTTTCAGCGTATCAGGTGAGGGCCCAACACTGGGTATTACATTGTTTATAATCATTTACCATGTCTGAGGTATGTATGTAGAGACAATATATTTTGCTCAAGGGCAACGACTCCCAAGGGGGTCCTTGCAGCTACTTATCGCCTGAGTTGAGAGGCCAAGACCACTATCCAGGTTCCGGGGCGGCCAAGGCCACCCAGAGTGTGCACATGAATCCTGGTCAAGACCAGTTGTTGTAGTTTGTCAGATTTCATATCAGTTATTTTCGTATATACTTATTTCATGATGGATGATTACATGTGTTGTATATTTCAGTGTTGGTTCCTGCGGAGTACCGCTGATGATTTTGTATTCACGCCCCCACTATTATCTTTTTAGGTGATGGAGTCCAGCGCGACACATGATCAGCGAGGTGGTGTGGCGGTCCGAGCGCGTGAACATTTGTTTATGTCCTTATGTATTGTATAAGTTTAATTTCATACTGTTCGGACTCATGTAGTTTATGTTCTAGCTTCTGCATGCTAGACATCCCAAACATTAAGTATGCATGTATAATCCCGCCCTGATCCTGCAAAAGGATCCATTTTCCAGTATTAGACGGCATGCATCAAGTATTTTCAGCTATTCAAGTGTGCATGTACAATTCCGTTATCGATCCCAAGGGGTCCATTTATTAGACGACACGAATATAGATTCAGAGATTTAAGTTAAAGAATTAAACTAAATATACAGATTCAGGTAACCAGTTAGATTAAAGTAGTAGCACTCCCGCAATTAAGTTAAAGTGTTTTTCGAAAATTAAGTAGTAGATTTGAGTTAAAGATTTTGACCACTTTATCTCAGTTGCTTTGAAATGCCCCTTCAGTAATGCAGTCTTATGGGTGGTATATCGGGTGTGGAGATATGAGCGTCAACTCGTCAGTAGTTTAGAAATCTTGAACATTTTAGGCTAAAATGCCACACCCGACACTCATACCCACACCAGTGTCGACACAACATGACACGGGTATTCTTCCTAAATAAAAGAGTCCGGTAACATAGGTCAAAATTATGCAAGAAGATCACATAAATGTAACTGCACGGGTTAGTAGCATCTGATCGAGGTATATAAAGAAACAACGAAAAAAGAAAACTAACCTGTGGAGACAACGGTTGTGATGGAGCCCACAAAGCCATAGACCTCAGAGGGCTTAGGGCCGTGCTCGCCGGAGACTCCGAATCCCGGGCGGCCATCGGCGTCATCGGGAAAAGACACGCTGGCCCTCCGATTCTTGGAGAAGCTCAGTATTCTTCGAGGGTTGTTCACGGAACATCGTTCTTCCATTCTTAAACCTAATTCTTCTCTCACTCGTATGGGATTAAGAGTTTCGTAATCACCAATCAGACATTTTCGAGCGAATCAGCAATGAGATTGATTCAAATAACTTCAAATGGCCATCTTAAAACGGAAATCTTCAGAAGAGCGATTTTGAGAAAAGAGAGAAGGTTCATGGTCAGAAGGTACATACTCCTAAATCCCAAATCCAATGGTCCTAATAACGGCATACATAATACAAACTCAATAATGCATCACTAATAACGGCATACATAATACAAACTCAATTAATCATTATTATTATTATGGTTGTTCAACTGTTTCAAACCGAACCAAACCGACCGAATTTTCGGTTTTCCCAACCATCAAACTGAAAACCGAACCGAAATTCATGGTTCGGTTTGGTTTTTAACTGAAAATCTATCGGTTGGTACGGTTTGATTATCGGTTATAAGAAAAATGGAAAAAAAGAAATAAAAAAATTCATAAGTTATAATTTCTCCAAATCCCACGAAAATCGCAGAAGGAAAAGAGAAAAAGCCAAATAGTGCAGCTACGAATTTTCTTTTACTTAGAAGCATAAAAATTTCAACGAAATGCATCACACTATCACACACTATTTCAAATAAATTATTAACCTATATAATTTAACCAAAAAATAATAATAAATAATAATAATAATAATAATCAAGAGGGAAAAGAGAGAAACTGATTTCATCCTTGAGAGCTTGAATTGGTTCAATCGCGTGAAGCCCGTAGGAGAGGATTTGGGTGGCAATCTTATTTGAGAAGCCTAGCCTCGTCGAGTGCCGAGTGGAGTGTGTGCGGGAGAGGGATCACGGCGGCGATCTGGGATTTCTATGCACCGAGCGCGGCCATCGGAGATGAGGAGATGATGGCGAGCAGATGAGGAGATAGGAATGGGCTTATATATTAATAATTGGCCTAAGCCTATCTTGTG